AAATTGCAGGCGATGGCACCACAGGCTGACTACATCTCAGTCTGAAAAACTAAATAGAAGCTTGAAAAGATTCTGTGCCTATTCACCATCTGGGCTGCCAGCTTGTATTTCTATAGGAGGATTTATCAGGAATTGAACAGTCTGCTGATAACAGTAGAATTAGTAACAGTATTTTTTCCTGTTGACAAGATTGTAGTGCTTGTCTGAGGTACACATTACTAATCTGATTCAGAGCATGGTTTAATTAGCCTTCCCCATTTAGTGATTAATGGAAAGTAAAAAAAGAAAAAAGAACACACACAAATGTACTGTGAATTATAAATACCAGAACAGTACAGGTTTCTGTTATTTTTTCCTTCTTCCTGCTTCACACCCACCAGTTTGATGTATTAAAAAAAATAAATAGAATGTGCAGTGAACTGAATATGAGTTAGATAGAAATTTGCAGAGATATTTTTTGACCTGAATCAGTCTTTTCAATTTTATTATCATGTGTTATGTGTGGTGACATTTTAGATGTTATTTAGCTTTTTTCGTGCAAAAAGAAAAGCCATGCTGTATATTCCTACCACTCATGAAGCTAAAGGGGCAGGAATAAGAAAACTTGCTACATCCTTAAGAAATACCTTGTCACCTGACCTAAAGATGGCCCACTTCCTGTTAACATTTAGGAAGGAAGTGAAAACCATCCTCTGTTGCTGGGCCTTTGGATTTTAACTTCCTGAAGAGCTGTTACCATGTTTTACCAGCTGAGATTATTATTGTTGCTGTCTATTCGTGCAAGAAATATCACAGTCTTTAGACAGGAATTTTGTAGTCATTTGGGTTCTAACCCAGAACCTATGAATGATGGAAGTATAATGATATTGATAGCAATAACAACAACAGCAGTTTTAACTTTTTATGGTGTTTTTTACACATGTGAACTTGGCAGGACTTGTGTGCAGATGCACTCATAGAGCAACAGTACCAATCCATAGACAGCATGCCAACGAAGAGTTCAAAATGACCAAAGTCCAAAGAGGAGAAGCAGAAGTATAGTGTAAGGGTATGTGGGAATGACCTTGGGAGACAGGAGGGAGAGCTGCATCTGGAACAACCAACATGTAAAAGATATCAGTCCACAGAAGGAGAGAGAACTAACAAAAATGATGTGTCTGGAGAAAGCTGTCTCTGAGGTTAAACAATGCATTCTTGGTCTCGCTGGACAAGCTAACAGATCTACAGCTCTGCATTATGCCCTAGGGAACTTCCATCAAAACCTCTTAGCTATTCTAAAATACTTTTTTATAGTACTTCTCTCTTCAAACCGAAAGGCATCCATGTTGGTAGGGTTCAGTGCCCTGTTCTCAGAACTGGTAGTGATCATGTGCCATCTAGCCGTTGTCGCTTCTTAGTGACCACATAGATAGACTGCAGCTTAATGACATCTCCTGTCCAGACCAATACTGTATATGCTCATGTGTAGCCATGAGAATAATAGCTCAGATCCCATTGTGCTGCCCACTATATCAGGACTAGAGATCCACATTATTTAATCCACTCATACAAGGACTGGGCCAAGTCTGACTATAATTTCTGCTAACAGACATTTCCATTATAACCTCTAAGAAAATCACTAAACTCTGTTCTGTTGCACTTGCCATCAGAAGCTAATGGGCTTGTTCCAGTCCACCCACTGTTTTAGGAGACTAAAATGGTACTTTTCTAATATCAGTAATAATTTTGTATACTTTTTAAAAAAGTTCAAAACACTTTTAAAAAGTTCAAAGCATTATCTAGTTTTTTTTAAATATGATTTTATTGAAAGTTTTAAGAAACGAGTAAAAATTAATGCAAACTAAAATAAGGGAAAAAGGGAAAAAGAAAAAGGAAGAAATAAAAAAAGCTAAAGTGCAAAAAGAAAAAAGAAAGAAAATAAAAGAGAAGTGGCTTCTGATCTTCTTTACAGCAGTTATTAAGTACAATTGTAGATTTACTTCTTTCTCTAAAGTTACATTGTGACTCTCTTCTTTCTAAAATCTATCCTATCTAATCATCAAGCCATAGATCATAAGTTCATTTTTTTCTATTTTATGCAAAAGATCCATAAGGGGTTTCCAATCAACAATAAATGTAGATACTGCCTTTTCTCTAATCAAACAAGCCAATTTGGTCATCTCAGCAAGTACTATCATCTTCATCGACCATTCCTCCGTTGTAGGTATTGCCGAATCTTTCCATGTTTTTTGTGTACAATAATTTTGCTGCAGTTATCATATATAAAAACAGAGTTCCGTAACTTTTTTCCAACTGTTTATCCATCAGTCCCAAGAAGAAAAGTTCTGGTTTCAGTTGTATATATTAATGTTTAAAATCCTTTGAATCAGTGTATGCATTTGAACCCAAAATCTTCTAGCTTTTTTGCACATCCACAAGCATGATAAAATGACTCTTCTTTTTGTTCACATTTCCAGGATAGTACCTTTAGACATTCTAGATAATTTTTCTGGTGTTGTATACCAATGGTATATCATTTTATAAATCTCAGTCCTTTCAACCACATATTTTCCCATTATTCCATCTATATATTACAACCAACATTTTTAGCCCACTTTATCATACATTCTTTCACTTGTTCTTCTTCTGTTTCAATTTTCAATAAAACATTTTAGCAATCATATGTTCATCATTTGTACACAATTCTGTTTCAAATACAGTCTTAGAATATTCAATACCATAAATTCTTTTGTCTACTTTGACTCTTTCTGATAACTGCAAATAGGAAAACCATTGACAGTTATATCCCTTGGCCATCAGTTGTTCTCTTGATTTTATTTTGTATTCCCCTTGACAGAATTCTGTATCTCACAGTATGTTAACCATTTTCGTTTGCCTATTATTTCTCATCTGTAAAATGCTTCTTTTGCTGAGAGCCACAAAGGTATCTTCGTGCACAACCTGGATTTGTATCTATTCCATATTCTCAGTATGGCATGTCTAACATAGTGATTTTTTAAAATCTACATTAACCTTGACTTTATCATACTACAAATATCCATGCCTCCCAAATCTCAGGTCATGTTCTTCTAACTCTAAAAGTCTTCTATTTCTCAGCAACACCCAGTCTTTCATCCAAACCAAACAACAAGCTGCAAAATAAAATTTCAGATCAAGTAAACCAGTCCTCCTCTTTCATTTGCATCTCATAACACCTTATATTTAACTCATGGTTTTTTTCCCCTTGGCATACAAACTTAGATATATCCTTTCACCACAGATTAAATGGTGCATCAGTTGTCAAAACTGGTATTGTCTGAAACAAAAACATCATTCTAGGCAAAGTGTTCATTTTTATCACAGAAATTCTCCCCAACAATAACAATTGTAATTTCTCCAATCTTAACATATCTTTTTTTAACTCCATTCCATGTCTTAACATAATTATTTTGAAATAACATACAATTCATATTTGTCATGGTGATACCCAGGTATTCTCTTTTTCTCAATCTTGAAACTCATTTTCTTCATCAACTCTGTTTGATCCTCTATTTTCATATTTTTGTTAACATCTTTGTCTTCTGATTATTAATCTTAAAACCTGCTAGTGTACCAAATTCTTTTAATTTTCTCTTTAACGTCTCTATTCCCTTTAGTGGATCCTCCAGAATCATCTAGTTCTAAATTTGTATAATATCTCCATGAGATCAGACAATATTTATTTCATTTATTATTTCAGTGTATATAGCCACCTATCTGAGAATTCCGACTCTAATATTCTTATCCCCCAGATTGCGGAAGGTGAATTAAACCTGAGGTCAAGGTGGGAGGGATGGCTTCTCCAAGGTTACATAATGGATTCAAGGCAGATGTAATCTTCAAACCAGGGACTTCCTGGTTCTTCAAACCAGGGACTCAGATTCTGCACATGATTTTAGTATCTTTAGGTATGGGGAAGAGTTTATTCTGCTTTATTAACTTTTTAAAATTTGTTTGGATACTTACTGTATTAATACCTGTGAAATTGTGTTCTGGGATAACATACTACAGATAATGCTATGGATTTATTTCAAATTCTCAGTGGGATTGCTTCTTTATTGTTTCTATTTATTGTCTAGTCTATAATGCTAAATATTTGAAAAGCTTGATGTCCAAGCCTTTCAGATTTGCTCACTATTCTTGCAGCCTTTTATTTAGTTATTCTGACTGAGCCAAGTTACCAATTTGTATTTAGTTCCTTGGATGTCTTGCCCTTTCTGTTTTATTTTTTACAATGTCCAGAATTCAAAAGAGTGTTTCAAGTGAAATAACCTTTCTGTTTGAGGAGCTCCTCCAAGATTTTTAAAATAAGTATTATTGCAGTATATCCTAGACTGTCATTTTCATACTTTTTTTTCTAATATGTGCGTAGAATGCAATCTAGGTCATTAACCTTATTTTCTGCTCTTGATTTCTGCTCTTGTTTTTGTAAGAGTCGAAACTGGTGAGGTGGGAATCTCTGATTCTTATGCCAGAGAAAGCTGGGAAACCAGCAGGTGTATGGCCGTTGATTTGAAAACATAGCAGGGAGAGGTGGAAGTTTCAAATATTAGGGCAGGATTCCAGTGTACCGTTAGATGGAGAACTTTTTCCTATGTATGGCTTCTTAATTCTTTGCAGTAAATCTAGTTAGCTAACTTTTTTGGGTTGGCATAGGAATGTAGAATAGGGAGAGAGTTTAATTGTCATACCTGTTATGAAACTTTGACAGTTTTATTCATTCTACGTGCAAGCTGATCATCAGCTTGGCTTCATTTTATCTGTGAATTTCATTAGCAACATCTTCCCCTTTCTTCTCTAGAACTTATGGAAAATTAAATTGTCAGTGGAGCCGTGATGTTCATGGGTTGAAGATGAGTCATTTGGGTCTTTTTCTTCCCCTTGTTGTAGCATGAAATTATTTTTGAGGACCTTTCAAAGACAGTGATGCCTGCTTGTGTTTTGTGCCCAAGAACAGTAACACTTGTCTTTGCCTTTCCAAGAAGATAATGATCTTCCTCTGAAGCCTCAAAAGGAATGGGTCCACATGAACAATGTAGAGTTTGAGAAGCTGGAGTGGATGAAGGACCTTCCTCTGCTGAGACAAAGAAAAACCAGAAAGGTTGGCAAATAAAAAGCAATTTCTTCTCTCTTGCTTTTCAAGTGTTCATTCCCTAGAACACATGAAAATTGCAAGAATTTGGTTTGCTTAACCAATTTCAATGCTCTAAATTGTTCTAGATTTTCTGCCAAGTTTTTAGGTGTCTGAATAACATAATAGAAAATGATATTTTTGCCTCTTTTCCCAATAGGGGATGCAAGCACGTTTTAGTCTGAAAGGAGAACTAATTCCCCCAGACAAAGAATTTCCCACACATATGGGCCTGCATCACCATGGAGAAGAAGCAGAGGTAGGTAAAGAGCAACCTCAGATTTAAGCATATCTACAGTCTTATTTGTGTCACAGTATTCTGCCTGTTTTTAACCTAATTCTGGACTAATGATGACCCACAATGAAGACTTGTAGTGAACCATTCTGCTTTAAAAGGATTAAAAAATACAAGGAAAATGAACGAAACAAACATGAGAAACCTCAGTGTTTGGACTTGGTTAGAACTATATAGAGTGCTATAAAATAAAGAACTCTCAAATTCTAACCTTTTGGCAGATTGTATTTTTCCAGACTATTTTGCTAAGTGCAGCTTATCTTATGAGCTTAATTCCCCTGAAGCTCTTGCTCTTTAGTTGCCTTCATTGCAAATATCCCATTTTAGGCAGATTATAGAGCACAGTATCTGCATCTGCCATACTGTGATCTGAATGGTGTGGAAGATGGGTAGAAGGATGACTGTTTTAACTCTTTGCTCTGTACAAATTCCATTCAGAGGAATGAAAAATGGCTTATAGCTGTCTGAGATGATATTATATTACTATTACTGCTCCTTTCTGCTGATAGTACACTGTCTATACCAGGGTTCCTCAACCTTGGCAATTTTAAGATAGGTGGACTTCAACTCCCAGAATTCCCCAGCCAGCCTTGCTGGCTGGGGAATTCTGGAAGTTGAAGTCCACCCGTCTTAAAGTTGCCAAGGTTGAGGAACCCTGATCTATACTATAATTACTCTGACTCTGTTTGAATGTTTGTTTATTTAATAATAGAGGGCTGGCTATTCACTGCAAGAGCTCTTCCACTTATCTCGTAGCCAAGTCATTCAGCAAAGGACGCTGGCTTTACAGGTGCTGGGCCACGTTGTCCAGAAGGTAAGCTCAGTGTATGTATACAGTTTGGATGCTTTCTCAGTGGTGCTTTTATAGAGCTCCACAATCTTTCCACTAGGCATTGTGGTAGGTGAAGTTGACAATATAGCATATGTATATCTAATAGAGAGGTGTAGTGTTTGAATCCAAAGTGGGCAAAGGCGTGTTGGATTCAGAGTGGGGATTCATATCTAAAATGCAGCTCTTTAAGAAATTGCTAAAAGGTGTAGCTGGGGTGCCAGTTCTAGATCTGAAAAATCTTGGCTTGATCACAGTTTGAATAATGTCTCCATGTAGCAACAAAACATCTTCTGACTCTAGACAAACAGCCTTCCCTTTGGTAATGACCATTGCTATTTGATTTTCTGATTTGATGTATAGCCTGTAATTTACCATGAGAATCTCTTTCATTTATTGAGACCATTGACTTAGGTTTCCTGCTTGGTAGTCGAATCATTAAAAATTATTTTAGAAATATGCATAAATCTATTATATGTTATATTAGCTATTAACCAGTAGGAGGCACTACACAACTGGTTTAGTACTTATTGGGACTCTTCAGGCATAGGTATCCTCCAATGGTGTGCTAATAAATGTGTAACAATTGGTTCTGCTAGCTCCATGAATAGTGGAACTACTGATCGACTCGCTAGGCATTGCTACTCAGCTCTGCTGTCAATTGGCATGCAAAATTCCTGAAAATGTAACAATCAGCTCCAGCACACAACTGGCATCTTCCTTACTAGTTGTTCTGTGTTAATTGTTTAATGGGATTTGAACCCTCAGGCCTTGCACCTGATGACTAGGCAGTGCATTTAGATTTAAAGCTATCTCGGCCTGGCTGTCAGTGGCTTGCAGGAAGGACGGTCTTATCAAAGCTATGCAGGTACGCCTTCCTTTTTTCCCCCTATATGCTCTCATACTAGCCTTTGGGAAACTAAAAAACAAACAAACAGCCCTGGGTGAAGCTAAAGAGGTTCAGATGTTTCTTCATCCCCATTCTTTCTTTGCCAGCCTGAAGTCAAGAAGCTATTAGAGAATTCAAAGTGTTCAGAATATAGTACAACATTGCTTTATCCATGCCTTAAAGCAATAAGAAAATATGATAAAATGTATCTGAATGTGATATTGTTTTAAAACTAACATTTTGGCTGGGTTATAGACAGATATTCATTCTTTGTGATGACATAGAGTATTCAGATAAGGAGCTGGACCCTGTGCTTGATTTTGCATTTTTCTTTGGAAATACCTTGAATATCTCCAAAACACAAGGTAAAGTTGTAGCCAGCAGCCCCTCTGGATTTCATTTCCCTTTCAGAGCTTGTCCTTCTGTAGTATGGTGTGAAATCAGCTGAAGGACATTTTGTAGTTACTGTTACTGTATAGGACAATCCCAGTTCAAGGAGAAATGCAGTTTCCTTGATACACATTTTGAAGGACAACAGAAAGGTAATGGTGATAATACTAAGCTTAAAGGTCTAATTCATAATTAAAAGTCAGAAGTAGCACTGTTTAGTTAAGTACTTCAGGCAGACAGCCCCTTCTGCTGTTACTTTTAGTGAAGCAGGACCTACTGAAAACTAGCCTTTTTCACCTGTTTTAGAAGACCAAGAATATGGAGAATGAGCCTAGGCTATCACTGCTTCCCTTGCCAGTGATGTTCCATTTCCTGGAAGGCCTTCCAAAATTGCCCCACAGCATAGGAAGAGCAGTTTTGTCAGGGGCCCAGCTGGCATGGACTAATGTCCTCTAAAGGAACCTTTGTCTTATTAATCCTAGTCTGCTTGCAATGTGTGTTTCAGGCCAAGGCAGGAGAGTTTGCCTCCTTGCTGAAAGGAAGTGTCCTGCAGGTATTGCTTGATGCTGGTTTCCTGTTTTTGCTCCGTTTCTCCTTGGATGATCCAGTGGATAATGTCATGGCAGCCACTGTCCATGCTCTCCATGCGCTGCTTGTTTCTCTGGATGATGAGGTTGGTATCTACAGAATGCTTGAATTTATTTAAAAGACCTGGTTGCTCGCTAAAAGAAAGGAATGGCTAATTTCCTTAACTTGAAGTGGATGTTTTCTTCCTTCAGTCTGTAGATGTCTGGCATCAAAGTGATGCTTTAAGCTTTCTCCTGACTTTGCATTGGTGCTTGCCCACCTTCTGAGCAGCTGTAGTCCCATTTAAGCACTTTGTAAATATTAGGTACTATTTAGAGATTGTCCTGGAACTATCTCTTTTGGAGACAATACAGAATCACACAATAGACTTTATTAATTATTTTTTAAATGTCTGTTATAGTTCCTGTATCATAAAAATTATCCTAATTGAAAAATACTGAATAAATAGATGTTGTGGAAACAGGTACATTGTGGGTGTTTCCTGCTTGTTGTAGAACTGTCTTTTTAACTCTGTTGTGTTTTAAATTTACTGTACCAGGAATGTAAGCCACTTAGTCTCATGATTGGAGAGCAGCACAGAAACCAGAGTAATAAAAATAAAATAAATAATTAAATTTTCTAGCATTAGAAGAAAACCATTTTAAAGTGAAATTGTTTTGAAAGTTGTTGAATGAATCAGATCAGCTAGACAGCACGTGTGATTTATTTGCAGACAATATGGTAGAATTTTGTTCCAATTTAGAGCAAAATGCCTGAAGAAGTGGTCTTTATTTTGCATTCCTTTCAAGTGACCTTTGGGAATTGAGAATATTACTAGGGGTAATTGTGCTTATTTTTAATTTAACAAATGTAAGCGAAAAACAGAATAAATGTGCTTTCCTTGATTCTTACTACTTTTCAAGCTTGGTACCTCAGAGAGTATATGCAAAGTTCCAGAAGAAAGCTTAATAACATTTCATATGCTTTTTTAATCCAAATGTTCAAAAATATCCAGAATTTAGCATTACTTTTCAGTAGCTGAATCAGGATTCCTAAATTATTTTAATGGGAAACTGATGAATATATAAATGCTAGTTGCTAACATCCCGAAAAGAAGCTATGTCGTGCCATGGGGTTCTTTTAGGAGCCTAGACCAAAGGTCATATGATCAGACCCTGCTAATGGGATTAAGTTCCTTCCATCAAAATTTAGATCTCTGTGCTACTACTCCCCTCCCTTCCAATTCTAGTCTGGATCTTCTGGAATGGTGTGAGTGATGGTATTGGAGAGGGGGTGCATGTTAGGACAAAATAAAGTTGATTTAAAAAATGCCTTTCCTTCCCTTCCTCTCCTAGGAATCTGCATTGCATCAAATCTCTTTATTTTTGACCAGCCTGGATGCAAACTTTTAGAATGTAAAGAGTCTTATGATGAAAATTATGAAAATCTGACCATTTTATTTACTTAAGAGTAGCAACTTTGAACTAGCCCTTTTTCAACATTATTTCCCAAATCCCTTCCCAAATGGGAGATGCTGGGAGTTGAATCTGGGTCCTCCTGCATGGAAAACATATGTTCTGGATCCCAATTGGTTTAACTATAAATTCATGTTGTCTCTCTGCTGAGAGCTTCTTGATGTTTGTTCCCTTCCAGGAGTATCTTGACAAGGCTTTCGCATGGTACCAGGGCATGACCGTGTACCCTTTAATCCCAAACAGTGGGGAAGAAGAACTCGAAGAGGAAGAAGAAGGTGATGAGCCAACTCCAAACCAAAAACCACCAGAGAGAAAATCAAAGGATGAAAACAAGCCAGATACAGAAGTGGCACGATACGATGTTGTAAAGGTAAACATCCAAAATCATATCTCAACCACTTCCTCCCCAATTGTTATATTATTTTAACTGAGTAAAAAATGATCAATTATATGCTGATCCTGAATCAAAGCAAACTTTGCCTTAGATATATCACTGATTTTTCTTAGCCTTCCAAAGACTAAGTTGATTGTATCAGTGTAAAAGCCAGTTCCTTTGAAGAGCTTTTGATCAGGGTTCATCTGCACTAGAAGATCTTTGTAGTGAATGTAGATTTAGGCTCAGAGAGGCCAGTACAATTAAGTACTTGATCCTGTAAACTTTCTGATTTTTTCTTTATGTCAGTAATTCAGAGAGTGGCAGTTTGGAGATACTATTGGCTTCTTGTCATGAAAATTAGAGGAGAAGTCATACTTCATATGACGCATTTCTAGAGAATATCAGATAATTTTGCAACCCTGTTGAAATTCATATACCTACATCTGAGTTGTTAGATATCTCACTTGGTATTTCTCAAAGACTTACATTCAGATGAGGGGATTGTATCCATTGAAGTATTCTAATGTTGGTATAAAAGCCATTTTTGTAACATAATCTGGCTGTTTCACACAGACAAGCCATCAAGCTTAAATTCCAAACGTCTTGAATTTTCCAGCCATCTCGTCCCCTCACTGAAGAAAATACTTCTGTCTTCCTGAGCAAGTTGTTGAAATTCCAATTATAAAATAGCAATAACTTTCTATGAGGGATAGGTAGTAACTCCTGAAGTATTTAATAATGAAGAAACATCCAGATTGTGTATTTAATTATTAGTGTTAGCACTGTTGCACTATAAATTGCACTGTTTGTATCTTAGGGACTTCTAAAGACCAAGATGCTTCATCGCTTGAGATACATCCTGGAAGTAATGCGACCTGTGCCATTAGTAGTTCTGGAGATTCTAGATATTCTCATTCGTATAGCAAGGCATTCCACTGAAGCTTGTGTCCAGGTAAGTCCTGTGAATATCCTTGATCAGAAAAGATGCATGTAACATAAGAGAGGAAGGCTGTGCCAGATGTTCCAAGCTTGACACTTTTTGAGTTTGAAATTGCGATTCCAAGTGTTCTGACCTTAAGACAAATGTCCATATTCCAAGAGTTTTCTTCTGAGGTTGAGACAATCCCTAGCCATGTCAAGCAGAGTTATTTTGCCAGGTATTTGTATCACTACAATGAAAAGTTGTTAACTTTGTAGCACTGACTTTTTTAAAAATATGTGTTTACAGGTTCTTGATTGTCCTCGCCTTGTAGAGACTATTGTCAGAGAGTTTCTTCCCACCCAGTGGACTCCAAGAGCAGCTGAACCTGGGAAGTTGCTCGCAAGCCTACATGGAGTACCATGTCCCACTGCCATGAAACTCATTAGAGTTTTGGCATGCGGAGGGCGAAACATAGCTGCCAGGCTGGTAAGAACTACTTTCAGCCACTATTTCTCTTTAGCCAACTGAACATGCTAAAAGTATACCCAATAAAATGTGCAATTAATAAAATATGACTAAAATAAAAAAGACAGTTTCCCCATTTCCTTCATTTAATTGGCATTCTTTATATACATTTACTAGAATTCAAATTTGCACAAAGGAAACAAATATACTTGAAATAAATCATGTGCATTTTCTAAATTCTGTATATATAGGGGCTGTATGAAAGAAAGGAATTAGCATAGGGGTGTTATAGCAAGCAGGGACAATGGTTAATATATAAAATAAGTATGTTTCTTTTTAACTCATATATTCCCATGGAGAAGTCTTCTGCTAGATATGCATCATAAATCCATCTGGCCACCCACTCACATTGAGAGAACTGACAATCATATGTCAAGCAACAGATGGAAGGCAATAGTCCTTTTCTTTGGCTTGTCCACTAATAACTAATATTCAGGGGCATTTTATTTCAGTTTGTATGGTTCTATTTAGTTGTCATACCTGATAGTCATTGATAGTCTAACCTCCAAAAATTTGTCTGATTCCTTTTAAAGCCACTAAGTGAGTTACCAGAACTATTATATTCTGCTGGATGTCAATATGTGTCCTCTTCTCTTTATCCACCATTGCCCCATTGTAAGTCCTGGATCTTACTTAACATTTGGTTGTTATTTACAGCTAAACACATTTGAAATGAAGAGTCGGCTGAGCCGGTTTATAGCTGAAGATCCCAAAGACCTTTCTTTGAGGATGGAGGAAGCCATAAGTATAACCACAGAGGCATTCCGCTTGTGGGGCGTGGCCACTGGTTATGGTCAAGCTTGTGATCTCTATCGGTATGTTTTGACTGGGTGTTTGCACTTCAAATTTTGCCATCCTAGGCAGGGTAATGAATTTCCCTTCCAAGAATATCAAAGCTTCTGTGTTATTTGGAAGTTTATGTAATGATAAAGAGATTTTCTTGCCTTCCATAGAAGCTATAGCATTCACTGTGGTTCATTTACTATTCTTTTTTTCACTATGTGCTACAGTAGATGGAATTTGTTCTTAACAGACAGGTGATGGAACAGCTTGAATAAACTACTGCCATAACTTAGTTCAAAAATGCAAGTTTCTCCTTCAACAATTAAGTGTATTAAGTATTGTCCATAATCATTATTATTAATACATAATAACCAGTGGCATCTAATTTATTAACTATGGTTTGTTTATCTTTATGATCTTCTAAGCAAAGGCTGAATAAACCAGAGCAACTTGCTACAATGACCAAAACAGAAGTGTGTCTATTAAGGCCCTAAAGAACTGGCAGGAAAGGGATTGTTCATAAAATTACAGGGAAGTTTCCTTGTCAATGATATTCTCTGCTAGAGGTGTTTTATGTATCAGTGCTACTTATTAGGAGGGTTTTAGCAAGATCCATATCTGAACCCTGGAGATTGGAAGTTATTTATTAGGAGGGAAGTATCAATTCCTCCTTCTGTTTTCCCAGGTTGATTCCAAATCAGGTGGGTAAAAGACAAGATGGAATAAGAGATAACTGATGCAAACTCCAGTATTAATCTATATGGAAAGACCCGAGCTCCAAACAAGTGATTATTTTGTTTAAAATAGCAACCAACTAGCAGTGATACACTTTTTGGAATGCTAGTTGATTTCTTAAAATCTTAACATGTTCTTTTTCTCTTTCTCCTTGGAAGTATTTCTCTTCCTTCCAATTGGAAGTATTCTGAGCATTCTGGAAGTGTTATAAACCCAAAACAACTTTTCTTCAAGCTCATAATGGGAATCCTTTAATCTCAGAATACTAACAGAATGATTGGAACAGTATTAGAACACTTCTGGAACAGCTGTTTTGTATGATCTGAAGAGAAACAGCTGTTTTGAACTCAAAACAGGATTTTGAATTCAAAATATTTTACACATTGCTAAAATGTCTCATAATTGGATTTTGACTTCAGTGGGTTTTTAAATATATATATATATATATTTATGCTACCATCAGGTGGTTCTGTGACATTTCATTCTATTTTAATTTACAGAGATCTCTATCCTGTATTAATGAAGATAGTTCCATCCCTATCCCAACTGACCAGCAGTTTTCAACAAAATAAAACAGTGTTTGAACTTTCTGTCCAGCGAGCTGCAGCTGTTGTGACTTTGCTTACTCAAGTGACTCAGACAGCTAGCTGCAGAGCAGAACTGCAAGCCCAGCTTAGCAGGTATAGTCACTCTGTGCTGCTAGTGGTTTGTCCTTTTTTGCATAATGAATTTTCTGCAGTATTTCTCTGAACATCCAGAAGCAAAATATTCTTACGGTGGGTTTGCATGAAACCATAACAACAACAATAGTAATAATAATAAATATACTGGTAATAATAGATGACAGCCAATTTGGTCTAGTGATTAGGGTGCTGGACTAGGAGTAGGGAAACCTGGATTTTAGTCTTGCATTAGAGTACAGAAATTAATGGGGTGGCCTTGGGCCAGTTACTATCTTTCAGTCCTAGGAAGAAGCCAATGGAAAGCCAGTTCATTTCTGTGTTGCCTAGAAAACTGCATGTCCATGTAATCACCAAGAGTCAATTCTGACTTGAAAACAAGGAAGGCAGGCAGGCAGGGAGGCAGGGAGGCAGGAAGGCGGGCGGAAATAGTGCATCAAATATCAAAGAGATGATAAATGAAGAATTTGGCAGATCAAATGATTTCTAGGAAACAAAGAAAGAAAGAAGTGGGAGAAGTCAATTTTTTCATCATAGAATTCAAGTTGGTGAGTGTATTGTTCCTAATAGCACTTGGATGTTGACCAGATTTGGGTCTGCTTAGCTTCAGTGAGGCGAGTGTTGCATTATGTGATTTCACAGCATTCTCTTAAATGTTGTTCTTCCACTAAAATTACCTCTTTCAGTGACCAGTTGCAGATGCTATAAGAATATAAGTACTTTGGGTCAAACTAATTCCATATGGTCTTACCTTCCAAGAATGAACAACTGAACAAGAAGAAACTCATAAGGAGGCAGGGTTGCGGGGAAGATGAAGGAACTTTGGGGTGTACCCCCAGCATGTAATGCTTGTCAAACTGTGCTGTAGTTCAATAAACATTTGGGAAATAGACCACCTCTTTTTTGCAAGTCTTGACTTTTAATGCTTATTTGACAAACTACAATGAAAATAATTGAGGAGTCCAAATCTTGCTGAGAGGTAACTGAACAAGAAAGAAAGAGAATGCAATTTATTTGCTTTTATTCTTCTTTGGTTTTGGTAAGCTTTCATTCTGAATATCAACTGTGTGATGGAATGTGTCTACGAAGAGGAGGGTGATGTGGTGGATAGCAACAGAGAGCAAGGCTATCAGGAAGGAGGGAGTGCATTTCAGGAAGGGAAAGGAGACAAAAGACAACACAGTCCGCAGGGGGAGTGTGAGAAGCATAAGAGGTTAGCCACTCCCTAGAATCTCCCAGGGTATATCCACTAGTTGCAGTAGTATAGATTTACTCTGGCAAGATTATGTCTATATGGTGTAAGCAAATAAAGGGACTTAACTGGACTGTTTCACCATTGTTCTTGGGCTGGGCCTGACAACTGTGACAGTACTGATTTTAAGAATTTAGAGTACCTTCCTTGTCAGAGTTTAAAATTATGTTGCATGTCACATGTAAATCTTAACTTTTCTGTATATTCTTCTTTATCCTTCCTGCTCTGAATCTTTTTAATCTGTTTACTGGAGATAGTGATTCTTTGTGGAAGCTTTCAGAACTTGACATGAATGCACCAACCATTCTGCGCTGGGGTTTGGCAGGAGATAGACATTTTCATATAGCTTCTTTGGTTTTCTTTTTGTAATAAAAGTAAAATTAGGTCATTTTGGCTGATATTGTGCAAGACTAGTGCTTTAAGAAACTCAATTTATCAGTTCTATTGCCTAATTGCCCTTTAAAAAGGACTCCTAGTGTCATATACGTTTTCTGCTTTGCTCCTTTATTTTGTATATCTTCCTTTCTGTTACCTTCCTCACTTCCCTTTAGAGTGAGTGCAAGAAAATATTAATCTTAATTGAATAACTGATAATACATTTTACCCAGGGATTCATTACTGAGGCCATCAAATGTCAGTGTTTATGTGTGCTGTAGAAATTGAGGCTGACAGTGAATTTGATTGAAAAGGTAATCATCTGATTGAGTGTAATTACGCAGCTGACTGAAGAGCAATAAGACCATCTAATGAAAGAAAGCATAATCGTCTGGGAAGTTATAAATAACCAGTTTACTGGAGGATCTGTTGAAACATTATGGTTGGGGCAAGTGTAGGAATGTTTTAAAATACAGTAAATAAAAAGGGGTAGATTGTCAAGGTATGATAACATCGTAAGAACACCAGTTTCCACGAGTTTGCTGGAGGTTATTGATTGATGTGTCCAGCAGCAAGGTAAAGTGCTATTGCAAAGTGAATATTTTCTTGGGTTAATTTGGCCTTCATTGTTAAATCTGTGATGATTTGCTCTACAGAAACAACCAACTGATGGCTGAATCAGTTGAAATAGTAAGAGGATTCATGTCTGTGTTAAGTCATTTTATTTTAACCATGGTTGTTTAAACAATCACTATGGCTGCACTCAGCATTTTAAGTTGCAAATCATTTTTTACAAAGTACAGTGGCTGTTTTCACAGATCACACTAATCCAAAACCACACAAATAGAATAATGTGTGAAAGCAGTCACCGATTTTCAGTAATGCCTATTAATGTAATTGGTTCATACAAGTCAAGGGGAATATTCACATGGCCTTTGACCTTTCATTGTTTTTATTTTATTCTATTTTATGATGCTTATTCCATGAACCCTGAGCAACTTGCCTAATTTCAGTAAAAACATTACAGATGCTAATAAATAGATGGATATTAAAGTTGCATTATAGTCTGTTTCTTATGTTTATGTTTGTATGAATAATAGCAGTTGACTACAGAACGTATAAAGTTTATTTTAAAACATTTAAAAAGATATATGCAAGAAAGCTAAACAACACAGAAAGGAGAAAAGAAAAAAACACATTTCAAATTTACACTCAACTTTATAATACTGAGTCAAAAATTAGTGAAGAAGAAATTAATTTTTAAATAATACAGCTCTTCCACAGATCATCCATGACCAGGTTACAGATAGTCCTTGTTTAGCGACCGTTCGCAGTTATGAAGGTGATGAAAAAGTAACTTTACGACCAATCCTTGCATTTTCGACCTTCGCAGGTCTGTAAAGCAAAGGAAAGCTGAAGTAAGATCATAAGCACAGTTGCAGTTTAACTTAGTGACTACTTCGCTTAATGACTGATTTGCCGGTCCCAATAATGGTTGCTAAAAGAGGACTACCTGTATTTATTTAGCAGCACTTTTCTTTCTTCAGGAAAACAACAACACTGTGAAATCAATGAATACAGGAAAAGCTTTCGGCCCTAATGGTTCCCTGATTGAGTAGGATAAGTCATATATGGAATTATTGCTCCCCCACAAATTGGATAATCTAAAAATTCAGGATAGCAGTGTATCCCATTAAAACTTATTCTGACTTTATAATTAGTTCCAGATATATTAATAATATTTAAAATTCCTGAATAGTTATCAGTACTGAAATGCATTTTGGACTATTTTGAGCCCTACATTTTTTATAGACAAGGATATTTTTAGGTACAGATTGGTTATTTGTAAGAACTTTGAAATAAAGAGGCAGAATGCTACACACTGACAAACCAATTATTAAGGATATTAAAAATATTGAATATTTTACATGATATTCAGATCAATTCAGCAAAAATGTTTGTTTATTAGACCACATGAGATTTTTTTTTTAAAGGTTTGGTTGTCAACTTCTTTATGCTTGTATAAAATGGAGGAGATACTTTTCTTAATGGGGTTCTGTTTTGGTTTAATAGTCATGCATTTGTTGAAATATGTTTTGTGAAAAGCAATAAGGTTTCCAGATGTGAACAATATTTTGAATCAAGTATCAGAAATCTGGAATTTATCACTATATGGATTTATCAAGCAAGAAATACAGCAGAAAAGATTATTTTACTCTTATGAAATCTGTAGAAAGATAGTGCCACCCAAATATATTATTTTGATTGAAAATATGTATTCACTCTTTGCTTTTGAACTGGCTATTGATGAAAGGGACAACCGATCATTATGACTCCATGTGGCCAAGATTTAATGCTATATTTTAAAATGTTTGCTATAACCATGATAATCTATTTCTACTTTTTTCCCTTTCCCTTTTTGGAAAAAAAATATTGGTGTTATATATAAAAAGGAAAGAAAAAAATTCTCTCTCCCTGTCTCTCCACCCAAATATACACCATCCAAATGCACGAAAAGGACAACCCCCCCACCAGATATACAATATATTACAACAGATGTGTAAAAGCAACTCAGTTTTTAGTTAATGACAGAATCATATTGAACAGTCTTCCCATTATATTAATAAGGAGCTGTAATGGGTTGCTTATGTGAGTTCAGGAAATGAGACAATTCAAAGTACAAATAGCATCCCAGGTTTTTTTATTCACATTTCTGATAAATATTTCTGATAAACGTAGTGAAAGAAGTGTTAGTTTCAGCCAAGCTTTGCATTACAATTCCGAGTCAGCTACATTCCATTATGAGCAGTTTCTCCTCCCTCCATCCTTCCTGCTTCACTGATAGCACAACCTTAACCATTGTTGGCAACTCTAATAGTGTACACGTATGTGTGGATTATGATACAGGCTTAACACATGTGCACCCCTCTATTTTAAACTCCGCCTCTTTCCGAATTCTAGGGCTTATAGAGATTAGTGGCAGTTTCCCACCCACTTTTTTTTTTCCCCCTGGCTGGATGTTCATGATCTGCTGGCTTTCCTCTGGCAGGTAAACCTTTACCTTATGTTCTAATTTTCTGTCCCCTTTTGACAGCCCAATTATGTCCTCTGTTAGTTAATGTTTCTTGCTGATTTGCATCCTCTTCCTATCTTCAACACATTTCTTTGGACCTTTGAAACAGTTCTCTTCAGCAGTGTCAGCACTACCCAGCTCATATTAAATTTAATAGTCCATCTTCAACAGCCAGTTTTCGTCTAAATCTATCTTAGGAATCAGCCATTACTACCACTCCAGTTCCTCCTTCACAGGCTTCTCTCTGATGGTTCTTAAAATTCTCTCTGTAATGCCAGTGTGGCATGACACTGACACCCCACATTTGCAGCCTCTCTTTTCCTATGAAAACTATTTCCTATGGAAATCTAGATGACATCACTCATGGTTCCTTATCAGGAAAGTAAATGCAAATGTTGTTTGGGTATCTCCATGGATACATGAAGAACCAGCAAGAAGCCGTGGCTGAAAGTAAGCTCCTTACAGAGCTAATTCAAAATCTAAGAGTGAACATATTTTTAACACGGTATAGGACTTGTTCCAGAGTGGAAGTTTCTTTCCATCAACACAACATTATCATTTTAGCTATACCGCCAACTGGATAAGTTAGAAGTTCTTCATGAATTGATAAATTCCAGGTTTAGAATGTAATTCATCATCATATTAACATTTTTAAATCTTATTTTCCCCCAAAATCTTATTAGTAGTAATGTAATCGTTTTCCTGTTTTTGTGCTTTTATGTTAAATGATTGATTGATAAGCACAGGGAAATGGCGTGAAAATCCCTCTTTTCTAATTGCTGAATTTGTTGCCTTCAGAAATATAAATTCCTATTGCAGTAAGCAATGCAGCATACTATATTTCTGCTTATTGTAGCTTTTTTCAATCTGACATACTCCAGATGTGTTGGACTACAGTTCCCAGTCAACATAGCTATGTTTTTTTAGGAATTCTAGGAGCTTGTCCAACACACTTGCAGGAGACATCTACAGAGCACAGGTTGGGAAATAGTGTTCTAAATTGTTATAGATTGTTTCTAATGTCTTGTTTCATTTATCCTGATCAGTTGATTTGCTTCTTAATCTTTATGAGCCTGTGAGAACCTTTTAATCTTCAAATTACATTTAAACAAATTAAATTTAATTAAATCTTATTTAAATATCAACTTTCAAAAATAGTTTTCAGGTTTTTCTGTAGTAAAACCGGCCAGCAAATAAAGAAGCTTAATGCCATTGCTTGGATTCCTACGTACTTTTCTCCTGCCGTGTAGGAGGCCTCCTCAGGCAGTGGGCATTAGCAATTTCCACTTCGTTGTCTTTATTTCATATTTGTGTTATGTTACAGGAGTGGCCCAGAAGGGGGTGATCAAATTCCCCCTCCACCCATCACCTGGAGTCAGGTGGCAGGTTTCAGGCCTGTTATTGAAACTAACATGAAGAATTGCCTTAGAGAGATAACCCACAAGGAGACCTGGCAACCATTGCTATCTCTTACTACGGCCTATGTCATCTATATGGGAGTGTATTACAGTAACTGTAGTCAACAGGTAAGAGTTCAGGAAATGAAGCTGTGTGTCTGCAGTTACCTTTGGGGTTTCTGTTGTTCCATGGTTCTCCTTCCATCCAGAGGAAGCAGGTGCAGCAGTCTGGCTAAAATAGCAAAGAAACAGCAACTGGCAAACTTTAGATTTGACAGATCTGCTTTGCTATTTATTTACTTTTTTATTATGCTTTTATGCTGCCCATTCCTGGAGGCTATAGGCAAGTAACAATAAATAATTTAACCCCCTCCAACCCCTAAGTGAATAAAAACCCAAAATCCATATAAATAAGCCATGCATGCTGCAGACCTCACCTGCATATTATAAAGCACCTCCTCCTGTGCTTCTGAGGTCCTTTCAGATAGTCTTGCAGGTGTGTGGCCTGGAGATAGTTAATGCTATGAGATCTGGTTGGACAGGTAGTTGAATGCCAGAAGAAGCAATGTCTCAGATAGCCGGGACAGAGCCATGCAGAGCTTCAAAAGTGGCAACCAACACCTTGAATTCCATTCAGAAGTCCACTGGCAGTCAATAGAGCTCCCAAACTAGAGGGGTCACCCAAGTATATTGGGGTGTATCTGTCATTGTCTGCAGTGCCACATTCTGTAGCTTCCAGATGATCTTCAAGGGCAGCCCTATGTAGAGTGCATTACAGTAATCTAACCAGGAAGTGACTAGGGCATGAGTAAGCATGAGTGACTGCAAGCAAGGCCTCCTGACCCAAAAATAGTGCAATAAGTGCACCAGATGTTACTGTGTAAGATGGCAAGCAGAGACTGATTTTAGGAGAATTCCCAAATTGCAGACCATCTCTGAGTAGAGATGTGAAAGTTGCCAGCAAAACTCGGTCAGGTGAAAATGGGGCTTTTGCCCATTTAAAACTTAGGGTCAGAGTATCTTAGTCCATGCTCAGTAATTTGTTTCTGGAACTAGAACTAATCTGTCGCTTCATAAACAAATCTATTCCCTCCTGCCCCCCTTCGGCAGATATCTCGGTAAAGCCCAATCTGTCTTTTCCCATGAACTAGTGATCTAGCTTGCAGGTCCTTTGCTGGTTGGAAATTGTCCCCCCTATACAGCTGTACAGCTGTAGGGCACCAGGCTGTTGAAGGCTGATTTAGAGTCACTTTGGAGCTGGCTTCAGTGCCTTTCAGATTTTCAATTAGTATCTTCGTGTGGGGAATGTATATAATTAGACATCCTGTAGCTCAGTGGGAATTTAGGTAAAACCTGCCCTCCTCCTAAAATATCCAGTAGCAAATGTGTTGGAAGCATTATCCATGCAGAGGAAAGTATTATTCAATATGTTTCCATGAAGAAAACCTCACAATGATTCCTTTCCTCCCATTTTCTCCGTAGCCAGCAGTAAACCCTATTGACTGCTTAGAGGAAGTAGAGCACCTGACATCCAAAGTGCTGTTGCCTCTCCTCAGCCAGCCAGCCATGCAGGCCCTTTGGGAAATGCTCAGGTAAACTCTTCCTGGGTAAGCTGCTGCTATAGGCTAGCATGTTTGGGATATTAGATCATTGCAGACATTTCTGGAGCTATGCCATAATCATGCAAGGCTGATAGTCAATCATGTGATGTGACTGCAGAAAAGCTATATGCAGTTAGGATCAAACTATGCATCCCTATGTGTGTTTCCTGGAATGCAAGTCCAACTGAGTTGCAGCTTAAATTTGCACTCATTCCTGCCTCTATGTACAACTATATGTTGCCTCATTGAGGGCAGTTTATTGAAGCCTTAACTAACTTGTTCCCTCTTGACTTTGAACTCCCTTAATTCCAAGCAAGATTTTATGATAGATGAGTTGTATGTATTTAGAGAGCAATAGAATGGAGAAACTTGCTGATTACATGGATTTTTTTTTAAACAGGGTGGTATTTTTTTTCTCTCAATAGAACCAATTTGAGGGATAGAATAGGTAAATTGCTGCTATCCAGATTTTTTTTTTTTTTGTACTGCCATTCCTTACCAATAACCATGGTGACTGGGGAATTGTACTCTAAAGAATCTAGACAGTGCTACATTGTCCACTCATTAGGATGCACCATAATTCTCATTTTTTTCTTCTCTGTTTTTTTTTCTTTTGCACAGACCATGCTCTGCTTTGTGCAACCCTCTATCTTGTTCCCCAGGACCAGGATCTGTTCCCAGCATTGTTTCTCTGAACTACAGTGGAAACAAGACTTCAGCGAGTTTAGTAGGCTCTAAATCACCATTTCCTTTTCTTACTGCTTTCCTTGTCCTTGTGAACAGCATCCTCCATGTACATAAAGGGCTGGTTAGCCAAGTAAGTATTGATATTTTGGTGTGGTTTAGCCTTTCAGAAGGGAATGTGTTCTAATAGTACCCTAATTACACTCACTTATGAAAATAATCATACCAGTTACATACACTAGTTAGCTGTTTGACTTTTACTAAAGACTTAATTATTCTCCAGGCTTTGGGTTTAATTTATGCCGTTATATAATAGAATTATAGAATGTAAGGGTTGGAAGGAACCTTGGAAATCATCTAGTCCAATCCCACCAATTGTAGGAATCCATTACTTACAGCATCTCCAACAGATGCCTGTCCAGTCTGTGTTTAAATGCCTCCACCGAAAGGGAGTCCATCACCTCCCAAAGCAGTCGGTCAGAATTTTTTTCCTAATGTCCAACCAAATCTACTTCCTTGTAATTAAAACCCACTGGTTCTTATCCTGTCTTCTGGAACAACTCTGAAAATGTCGTCCTGTCTTCTACATGACAGTCCTTCATATGCTTGAAGACAGCTATCATGTCTTCCCATAGCCTTCTCTTCTCCAGACAAAATATACTTAATGCGCCATTCCTCAAAATTTTTTATTCTCGATTCCATATCATCTTGGTTGTCAGTATTCTAAGTGCAGTCTGACCAATATAGTGAAAAACAATGACTTTTCTTGATCTTGACACTATATTTCTATTGATGCAGCATGGAATTGCATTTGGCTTTTTTTTTTCTTTGCAGCTGCAAAACACATGTTCAACCTGTGATCTGCCAAGATATCTAGAACTTTTTTATGTGTACTGCTGCCCAGCATGGTCCTGCCCCCATCCTATATTATGCCTTTGACTTTTCTTACCCCAGTGTATGACTTCACTTTTCTCACAGTCAGAATTCATTTTGCTGCTTTCAGCCCATTCTTCCAGCTTGTCAAAAACCTCCTGAATCTTGATATGGTCTTATGTTTGCCATCCCTCATCTTTGTATTGTTTGCAAATATAATAATCATATTTTCTAATCTCTCATCTAAGTAATTTATGAATATGTTGAATAGTGCACAGTCTAGAATGGAGTCCTGTAGAGCACCACTTGATGTTCTCCAGCTTAACACAAAGCTATTGACCCTCCTGTGCTCCCTTACAAAGGAAAATTTCTTTTCATGGGATCTCACCAACAGTTCTCTAAGTGTACTGAAATTCACTGTCCTAACATCTATTGTGCATGTTTCCAGTTTCTTTTCTGTAGTATCTTGAACCCCAAGAGGACATGATCATTCCCAAAATTCCCACCACTTTTATCTCTTCAGCTATCACTTGCTGTTGGTTAAGGTCAGACCTAAGAGAACCAAGGCCCTTGTCTTTTTTTCCCCCAGCCTTCTGGAAGATGAAATAGCAAGGCCACTGAGAAATTTTTAGGACCTTGAAGTTTTGGTTGAATTGGCGTTTCAACAGCTATCTGGGAAGTTATTACTCCCTGAAAGTTCTGAGGTCTGGTCCAGGAGGGTTATCCAGACCTTCTATTTGCCTTGGTGTTGTATAGCAGCCGTCACAATTATATCTTTGTAGTTTGCCCGCCCCCCCAGTCCATATCATCCATTGCCATTAAAGGTAAGAGAAGTGTCTTTCTCTTCTTAATGTCAGAATCCTCGCAAGATTTTATAATAGATTATTAGATGGCTAGTTTTAAAAAAAATGGTTTTTATATGCTGCGGTTCTGCCATTGTAAAAGTGGGGGGGGGAGGGAAGTAGGAATGAGAAACCATTTAAAGCAGATGGCTCCTTATCACAAGCTCTGGCAGAAAGTTACTGGATTTGGGATCAACAGGTGGCAGCTCGTTACACTTAAATTCAAAAAAAGAAAGTTACTGGATTTGGGATCAACAGGTGGCAGCTCGTTACACTTAAATTCAAAAAAAGAAAGTTACTGGATTTGGGATCAACAGGTGGCAGCTCGTTACACTTAAATTCAAAAAAAGAAAGTTACTGGATTTGGGATCAACAGGTGGCAGCTCGTTACACTTAAATTCAAAAAAAGAAAGTTACTGGATTTGGGATCAACAGGTGGCAGCTCGTTACACTTAAATTCAAAAAAACCAAGACATTAGCTTTTGTCTGGTGTATATAAACTATTTCCCATTTTCCTCTTTTGTGGTTCACACTATAGAGCAGTGGGTGATGGTTCAAAATTTATTTTCTATATGCAAAAGCTACTAACTTAGTTAAGCCTTTTCTTGCACCTACACTGAGTGGATATAGGCTTCTGGGAGAGTACACCAGTCCACATTAATAAACTCAAGATAGACATTGATGACCCAATGTACTGGTGTATAAGAAGGAAATATATCGATAGTTGATTGTTTGGGCCCAAGTATCTTGATTTGAATTTTAATAAAGTAAGCCAAGAATCAGATTAAAGCTTTGGTAGTAAATGTATGTAAGGAGGAAATATACAAAATACATAATTTGTTTCTGGAAAACCATTATAAATTATAAATGGTCCCAGAGTTAAGAGAAATTATTCTGTATTACCTGGGGCTGGTGGATGTATGAATGCCATTATGGCAGAATGGACTAGCTCAAGAAGTATATTCTCTCTTGATTCAGGTATTTGGTAACTACCTCAAATGTATTTCTTTGGTGTTGTTTTTTCCAGTATGTTTCTATTCTAGAGATGAAGGGTCTGAAGGACTACCTGCTCCAGTGCTGCACAATGGTTCCTTTTTCCTTAACCCCTTCCTCCATTTGGCTGTTGCATCATGAATACCATTTGCAATATTTTGTACTTTCGCTTGCTCAGAAAATGGTAAGTTCTTTGCTTCAACCATCTGTTCTGAACTGCTTGTGACCATTTGCTCTGTATTTAAAAATCCCTTGTATATTTTACTTAACCCATTAGCTTAACAATTTCTGGACATGCTTTTGAGTACACCCTCAAGCTTCCCTGGAACTTTGGTTTCCCAGGGACAGTGTTTCTCAACCTTGGCAACTTTAAGATGTGTGGACTTCAACTCCCAGAATTCCCCAGCCAGCATGAGGAGTTCTGGGAGCTGAAGTCCACTCATCTTAAAGTTGCCACGGTTGAGAAACATTGCCCTGGGATCTTAGATACACAGTACTTATCTATAAATTATCCTTTAAGGCAAAAGGTTTTTACAGGTTAAAAGAAGCAAAAAAATAGAATCAAAAGATTATAAAGCTTGTTTAGAACTCATACAGTGAAATCACTAATACATTTTATTATTAAGTCTTATAAAGTAATTTGCTTTGCAGATCTATTTGAACCATACACAAATAAAACAGAACAGAGCTATCCATTTCAGATAGCTGAAATAGTTCCAGTATATATTGTCCTTTTATATATTTCTAAATCAAATAGTTTGTGACTCATGTTTGATCATTTATAAGCAGATAACATGAAATTGTATCATTTTGTCCCCAAATCGTAGTAAGTCATATAGTATATCTAAGATGTTTATCGATGTATGTATTTGTGGGGTAGATTTACAGAGATAATCATACACACAATATCTGGAATATCTTTTTAGTGTTTTCTGTTATAGTTTTTCTATCTGTTGTAGCCAAACACCTGGCTCACTTAAATCAACCAAATCACTTTGAAGATTCAACATAAATTTATTAAGCATGCAAACAACTACAGTGTAGACATGGCTCCCAGCAAAGTGTTGGCAGCTTGCTGAGGAGCACCAAAGAGAAGCAGAACCACAGCTTATGTACCTTTGGCCTACTACATTTACAAAGACAGGACAAAGGAAAAGGCAGACACAGTGTAAATTACAGCATGATGTTGGGATGTTGTTGATAAACCCATCTAGGTGACCTTCTTATTATTTATCACTTCCTACTAGGTCAGCATCTTTTCTATATTCTCTTTGAGATATGGTCAGTGAATATAAACAATGGGGTTTCTTGGGCCACTGGTTCCTATGTGGTTCTTCTGCACCACCACTCAGGGTCAATTCAGCTTGCTCTGAATGTATTATTACAAGGGCACTTTAAGCAGTTCACATGTATGGGAAGTATCTTATAGGGTTGGTAATGAATGGAACTCACTTGTGTATGGGCATTACCACAAATCAGTTTCCAAGATTTACCTACGTAAGTTTCAACCAAGGAATGTATGAGTCCCAATTCTCATAAAATATCATACATTTTATGGTACTTTCTAGCTCTGAGTTCCACTGATTATGGTATCACCAGAAACCAGGGTCAGACGTAGGATAAAGGATGTAAGTTAATTTTGGTCAAATTTGCTTGTCAGTCTTTCCTAGATTCCTTTTTTCTTACATGGGCCTATATGATCAAATGTTTTGATTCATTAATATTCCCATCCAATTTAAATTGGCCAGGCAGTGCTTCCTCTGTTACATTATTTTAACTGTTAATTGTAGAACTGCAGAGAGGAGATAGAAGAATGTAGTGGGGGGGCAAAATGGTTGGAATGTGGCTGTGGCTTCCTGGGGCTGGCTGGATCATTTCATCCTCCAGCCTCTTGCCTGGTTGTTTTCCTTTTTGTTTAAGGAATGGAAATAAAGAAGCTATGAAATCTTATGTCCTTCCACTCTGATTTGTCAGAAATGAACACAGCATGGTACCTTGTTAACCATTGTGATTCTTGAAGCAGTTCGATTTTATTTTTTTCTTCCCCTGAAGTACATTCCATTTCAAAGAGTTTGGGAGCCTTGTTCAGTCAATTCATTAACTATAAGGTGAAAAAGTGTGGGTGAGCTATGTGCAAAGGATGGGCAGATCTGGAAGTTTGACAAACCCATATCTCTGTCTTGTTTTATTTCTTGCCAAATTAAAGAAAAAGTTATACTACACTGGGTTGATTTGGGGACGATGTAGAAGTATTAGAATCAAACAGATTGTTAGAATATTTAGCAAAAGTAATGCCATTTTAGAACAAAAGGAGTAGAAACACCCTTTGAAGGAGGTTAAAAGAGCCTAGAGCAGATATAAGATAAAGAAGCAAGTAGTTAGCTAGAAAGAAGTCAAAGACATTCCTAAACAAATACCTGCCTAACCAGTATGTGCATGCTAAAAGATACAAAGGAAAGTATGAAGGGAGGCATTGGCAGTGGTTCTGTGTGGCCGCCACCCAACCCTGCTTATTTGCTGTGCTTGGTCTCTTTTAGTAACGAAACACCTGATTCTCCACAAATGTCATCCAGCATCTTCCTTCTCAGTTTAGAAATGAACCTAGGGAAGGATTATTTTTCTTCCAACAAGATGAAGGTTTATTTGTGGCAGATAAAAATAGCCCATTGTTGCAACTATTGTAAATTGTGTCCTGCTATCATATCCCTTTATCGGTGTCAACGACAGCAACATTTTTACATGTTTTTTGTTTGTTTGTTTCCTATGCAGGCGGATGCTTGTCCAGATTACAACCAGCATGCTTCACTCCATCACTCTGTTGCCATGACATTGTTAAGTCGCTTGTTGCCAGGCAGTGAGCACCTGGCTCATGAGCTACTCAGAGCCCTTGCTTTTAATCCACAACTGATTCCGTAAGTTTTATTCTCCTTTCCATCACCTTCTCTTATCCTTGAGTAACCCTTTATTTGGATTTGGGGAAGCTGTATGAGAAAGAAGGAAAGAGATTTTTAAAAAAATCTTAGCTGGAGTACCCTAAAGTTAAAGTAAGCCTTATTTAGGCAGCCTTTTCTAGGTTTCCTTGAAGGATGATTTCTCTTACAGCTACATTGGAATGAAGTACATATGTTACCATTTTTTTTACACCATCCAAATCTTTAAATCCCAATCATTTTTAATTTTTATTGTAAAGTTCTTCTGTGTAAAAGTTTTTCCAAAGATGGCAGGAAGGTATAAACTTCTTAAAGTATAAACATTGCACAGTGGACAAACTTGAAATAAAGGATTAAGCAAGGATTTACCTAATCTAATCCTAGTACTTTCTTTTCTGCATTAACCTGAGTCAGACAGAGAACTGAAGAACAGGGACCAATATTGAAACCCCATGTCGCCTTCTGACTGCATCATTTCTCCAATATATTTGTGTGGAGTTTCAGGTGGATGTATTGCTCTGCTTTCCTGTCTTGAAGATGCTCAGCTTGATAGATAATTGTACCTGGTACTTGGCAGTTTCCATGTTTATGGAATAAAGTGAATAGAAATTAATGCCACTAAATTTCAAGCTTCATTTATTTGGAATACAAGCTTGCCTAATGCCTAATGCTCAGGTGTATGTTCTGCAGATACGCTGAAAGTGCTTGTCTTTTTTTCTTCAAATGGTTGATACTAGTTGTGAGTTAGAATAACTGAGCAGTTATTTCCAATGGAGGATTTCTGAGGCTCCAAACACCTTTTTTTTTAAAATTAAAGGAAAAAAGGGAACTCTGCAACTTTTAAGTTTAGATTGAGGCTTCTCAATCTCATAGGTGTGTGTATACAGTCAGGTCCAGAAATATTGGGACATCGACACAATTCTAACATCTTAGAGCTGTCACTATCAGTGAAGCAAGCCATCATTAGGCTGAAGAAACAAAACAAATTCACTCTGGTGAAGTCTTCTTTTCACTCTGGTGAAGTCTTCTTTTCACTCTGGTGAAGTCTTCTTTTCACTCTGGTGAAGTCTTCTTTTCACTCTGGTGAAGTCTTCTTTTCACTCTGGTGAAGTCTTCTTTTCACTCTGGTGAAGTCTTCTTTTCACTCTGGTGAAGTCTTCTTTTCACTCTGGTGAAGTCTTCTTTTCACTCTGGTGAAGTCTTCTTTTCACTCTGGTGAAGTCTTCTTTTCACTCTGGTGAAGTCTTCTTTTCACTCTGGTGAAGTCTTCTTTTCACTCTGGTGAAGTCTTCTTTTCACTCTGGTGAAGTCTTCTTTTCACTCTGGTGAAGTCTTCTTTTCACTCTGGTGAAGTCTTCTTTTCACTCTGGTGAAGTCTTCTTTTCACTCTGGTGAAGTCTTCTTTTCACTCTGGTGAAGTCTTCTTTTCACTCTGGTGAAGTCTTCTTTTTCACTCTGGTGAAGTCTTCTTGAGGCACATATGCAAACTGTTGTAATTCCTACACCGTTCACCTGAGTTGGATGTACATACCCTCAAATTAAAGCTGACAGTCTGCAGTTAATGCACATTGTGTTTGTTTCATTCCAAATCCATTGTGGTGGTGTATAGAGCCAAAGATGTTAGAATTGTGTCGATGTCCCAATATTTCTGGACCTGACTGTATATGCATGTGTGTGGATGTAAGTAGGTATGCATGTGTGTATACACACACACACATACACACACACTTATTTTTACAGTATGTTGATGAAGATTCTCAGTCATCCAGGTGGAATTATCCGGAGGTTGAGTCATGGCAACTGGACTTCTTTTCTTTTGGTCTGATATGTTTCGCTGCTTGTCAAAAGCTGCTTGGACAAGCAGCGAAACATATCAGAC